GGGGGCGGGGAGAAACCGCAAAAGAAGCAGGGAACAAGGCAAAAGACGTAAAAGAAGTGAAAGAATCAAAGGGGATAATAACAAGAAGAAAGACCCCACTCAAAGGTACGTGCATGAGAAAGCGGGGCGGGCGACCACAGCTGGACAGTATTGGACATCTGAAACCTTTCATTATACGGACGATTTCTTTTCCAAGGGTCGATTTCTTCAGCTTATGAGGTTTAATCGGGATCCATTCACAATAGTAAGACGTAATCACTCAGGCTCGTCGCATTCCACTTGTTCAAAAGCAGTAACAACAACCGTCGCATTCCGGCGGGTTCCTGAGAAATGTAATTATTTTTGGTTTTCACCAGATGAGATGAGTGCACGGAAGCATGGGGAAATGATGCCAACACTTTATGGGGATAGAGAAACCTCATGGTTTTACTATATTATACCGATCGCATTGTTTATAGTGTGCTGAATAAAGTCCAGACTTTCATCAACAGATGTATGAGGAGTATCCTAAGAATTAAGTGGCAGGATAGAATAAGACAGGGAGAGCTATGGGAAAGGACAGGACAAAAGAATATAGAAGTAGAAATAGGACTAAGAAAGTGGCGTTGGATGGGACACAGTTTAAGAAAGACCAGCGGAAACATCACAAGACAGTCACTGAAATGGAGTACGAGGCAGGGGTAGGCCACGGGAAACATGGAGGAGATGTGTGGAAAAGGACATGAGAGAGATGAAGCTCACTTGGAACGAGCTAGGATAGACAGAAATGGAAGGAGCTTGTATGTGGCATATACTCTGCCAGGGGTGAAAGGCATTGATGATTGTGTATCGTGATTTGGTGGAAATCCTGCAACAAGCGTTTGTTTGTTTGTTTGTCTGGTTTGTTTGTCTGTTTGTTTATCTGTTTGTTTGTCTGTTTGGTTGTCTGTTTGTTTGTCTGTTTGCTGGTCTTTTTGGTAAGTGTTTTACGGCGCTCGCAACTATATAAGATCATATAAGCGCGTGGGACTCCAATCTTCAGTTGATAAGACATTTTCAATTTTGCCCGGGAGGCGGTCGAAGCCTACTCTTATCGATTATAGGACCATTAAGGAATCTTTAATTTACTCAACTTGCACACGAGACCTCCGAGATCTTTTTTTTCGCCCATATCATAGAAGGCTAGGTGTTAGTTCTTACATTCCGTAAGATCAGGGGTGGGGCTGAAAGACTGCAGTAAGAAGGAACCTAGGAGTAGAAGTAGAAGGGTAGCAGTAAGAATCAGTTGCTCAAAGGGGGGGGGGTTTGGGTCAGGGGAGGGGAAAAAAAGAAAGCAGAGGACAGAACACGATTAGAGATCAAGAAATGTGATTGTACAAAATTTCTTTTTGGAGAAGAAAATTTTCTGTCGCTGTCAGGTTTCAAATCCGGGACCTATTGAAAGG